CGGAGGCGGCGGTGGTGGCGGCGGCGCGGCGGCAGCCGATGACGAGCCACCGGCAGGCGGCACGTACGCGCCGCCGTCCTTGACGACCGAGGCGTGGCCCTCGGCAGCGAGAGCAGCAGCAGCCTCCGCCTCCTCGGCAGTGGCATCGGCGGTCAGGGCGCCGTCGACGTTGAGCGAGGTCGCGCCAGTAGGTGCATTCTCTAGCACAACCTCGACCTCCTGGACAGCAACCTGCTCGGCGACGGCAAACTCGCGGTACTCGCCGGGCGGGAGCATGACAAACTGCATGTGCTCGCGACCATCCTCGTCGAGGACCAGCTGCGGGCGGGCAACGTGGTCGTCGTACGGCACCTTTTCGCGCTTCTCCTTGACCTTGACGCCAATGTCGAGGTTCTTGAACTCCTTGACCTTGACCTTTTTGGCCTCTACCTTGGCCTCCTTGTCGCCGGCCTTCTTCTTCTTCTTGCGGTTCTTGCGCCGCGCCTTGCGCTCGGCAATCGCCTTCTCGCGCTGCTCCATCAGCAGCTTGACCCACTGCTCGATGAAGAAGTCCGGGTTGGTGTACTTTTTCATGGCCCCACCCGGCGTCTGGTCGTCGGTGAACGGGTCGAGGAGATCGAACGCCGGCGGCGCCGACGCCGCCTCAAATGCAGCCACAATTGACGGCGGCCGCGAGGTCGGCAGGAGCAGCTGCTGCTTCCAGCTCTGCACCCCGTTCTCCTTCCACGATGTCTGCACCGCCGGGTTGGAGACGAGCGAAGACGTCGACATCTCCACCATAATCTCCTTGGACCGGAAGCAGAGCTCAGTCGCCACAGACGTCCGCGTCTGCAGCGCCTGAATCCGCTCAAACGTCGACGCTGCCTCCTTGAACAGCTCGTTGAACAGCTCGCCAGCAAAGCCCGCCAGCCACGAGAGCTGGTGGATAAGGCCGACGCAGTGCGTCTGCGAGATCTCCTGCAGCAGCGACGCCCCGCCCGTCGTTGTCGCATACCGCACATAGTGCTCTGTCGAGAACACGTGCCGCTTCACAATGGTCATCCTATTTGGTTGCCGAAGTAAAGTGTGACCGGCTTTCCCTTCCTCCCCCCCCCCCCCCCCTCCCCGTCCTCCGTCCTTGTCGTGTCTGTCCGTCGTCTTCTTCCCAGCCGTTGCCTTTTTTTGGGTGCCATCGTTCGTTCGTTCGTTCGTTCGGTCGGTCGTTCTTTCGTTTGTTCATTCCTTCTTTCGTTCGTTCGTTCCTAGTGCTCGGCGCCATCCTTTCCGTCGCGCTCAGCCATCAGCACGCAGGCTCGGTCCGGCTGCGGACAGTGAACGGAACGGCTTACTGTGACTAACTAACTGATTCTAATGACTGACTAAATGACTAACAGCTGATGCGTATCGTCACTACAGTTTCTTCGTCAGCTCAAAGTCGAAAAGCATCCATGCACGCAGGAGCATCATCTTCTCGGCGCGCAGAGCCGAGAGGCGGTTCCGCTTCCTCGTCATCATGTCTGTCGCCACCGAGTTGAGCCGTTCGACGCTGGCAGCGGAGGCCGATGGAAGAAGGATCCCCTGGCCCCACAAGCGGAACCTCGCACACAGCACCTGGATCCGCCGTACGTCAGCCTTGCGGTTCCAGTTCTTGCGAGACTCGAGACCGACGCACACGTCCTCAAACTTAGCCAACACGTCGCCTACGGACAAACTTGAAGAGGTAGAGATTAGCCGACTGTTGTACAACGTAGCCGTGAGAACCTTGCAGAACACTTCGACGAGCTTGTAGTTGCTGAACGAAGCCACAGACGCAGGCGTATCGTTCACCGTCATCTTTCGCACCTTGCAGCCGCGAACCTCATCAACGCTCTTCGCGCGCAGGCGCTTCCCCGCGTTCTTCTCGCGCTTGGCAATGTTACGAGCGCGCGCCTCGCGCTCCGCGGCCATCCGCGAGCGCGCCTGTGGCGATGAAGCCGGCTCAGCCATTACCACCTTGGATGGCCCACCGGCAGCAGACATACTCGGGGAAAAGTACGTGGGGTCCCGCGATTCTTGCGGCAGCGTGTTGCTCGCTCCGCTCGATGACGCCGCAGTATGCGACGGGAGCGTGGATAGAATGTCCAGGAGCTTGGGCTCAAGGACGTCTGCCAAGCGACGCCACATGTCATGGTGGACCTCAGCAGCGGTCGCCAGATGGCGCACACCAAGCGAGTTGTTGGCGTCGGCGACAACTCCCTGGACATACATAAGGTCGTCCTTGGTGACAGTCGTGTCAATAAGGAGAGCAAAGAGGCACGCATCCTCTTTGTACAAGTACGCAACCTGTTTGTACACTGCCTGGGTGGCGATGTCGCACAGCTGTTGGATCCTAGGGATATCCTCGTTGTTGATCTTGAGCTCTGCCAGATCGTCCACAATCCCCACCATCGTAAGGAGCGAAAGGGAGGACGACATATCGGACGTCTGAGACATGACGCACGAGTTGTTGATCGTGAGGAGTACCTCCACAGCGTCATGTACCTCGTCCCACTCGCTCGCGGTCAACTTAGCCGGGGCACCCGCGATCTCAGTCGAAACAAAATCCACGGCATCCTTCATCCTCGACGCCCGTTCCAGCATAGTCACCGTCGAGCCCCAGCGAGTACTCACGTCCGGCCGCAACGACGTGTATGTTACCAGGACGGGTGGAGACGGTTTGTCATCCACGGTTACTTGACCAAGCTGGACATCCATCTCATATGAGTTCAGCGCGGACTTGTATGCGTGCGTAGCCTCGATGTTCTTCTTGTTGATGAAGTGGCGCATCGTGCGCTTGGCCTTGGACGAGCGAGAGATGAAAGAGACAAGGCGGCGCAGCTTAGAAATTGCGTCAGTGCTTCCCACGAGCGGGGCAGAGGCAAAGTCATCGGATGCAACGGTATCACTCAGCGTCGGCCACTCTGACGACGACAACGATGCCACCTCCGAGAACCCATCCTCGTTTTCGACGTCCTCGTCGTCCGTGTCCTCGCCTACCCCGCCCATCTCGAGTACGGCCGTGTCACGGCTCGAGACCAAGTCTGTTTGCACCAAGGCAGGATCCAGCTCACTGTCAGCCTGTACCGCCTTGAGCACGTCACCGACGATGCGCTGAATGCGGTGGGAGAGACATGGATGCCACGGGAGTTCGAGGAAGCGCTTTGTCATCCGGGGCATGAGCGCCGTTGTGTCGCTAGACAAGGCGACTACCTGGACCCAGTCAATCCCGAACTCTGTCACACAGAGCTTCACCACCTTGGCGAGATTCTCGGCGTTGGCGGAGAGATATGTGGTGTCGTACTCGGCGCTGTCGTCAGACGTTGAGCGAACAGCGTTCATGAGATCGGCGGTGAGCGCCTTGAACCCGATGGGGATTGTCATGCGCACTCCCGAACTGTAGAACTGGGCACACACACCGAGAAAGGTATGGCGCGTCCCAGACGACGTCCACTCATCGACGATGAGGGAGATAGGCCCGTCCCCAATGTGCTCCTGCATCTTGGTGCGGTACTTGAGGAAAACGCGATCGAGTACACCCTCACGCAGGTGCTTCTCGCACGGTAGAATCTTGCGCACGCTCGTCGCACTCAAACCCACTGCGACAGCGAACATGTGGGCGAGGTACGGGTCTTCGATCGACGCAAACGAGCGGTGCTTGTACAGCACGCTCTTGAGCGCGTATTCCGCAACGCGCGGCTTTGCAGCCTTCAAGCGGTCTTCCGAGGGGAAGTACGCCTGCAGCTGCTGGCTGGACGTGGGGACATCAACGTCCAGCGCCGACAGCACCTCGCTGTGGGCGTTTCGGAAGTGGCTTTTGATATTTGAGGTCGACTTGAAACTGTTGAGGCTAATCTGCTTGCCGCAGAGCCTGCAGCAAGGAGCCTCTCTGTTCTGGTGCGTGACAAGCTGCCACAAGGCCGAAGAACGGGGCATGCTGCGTGTGAGAGGGGTGTCTCCGTCTTGATCACCATCTTAGTCATTGACGTTTGACTGACTAACTAATGACTAAATCTTTTGACTACGAATGACTATGACTATCGTCGTTCCGTACACTGGCTGCGGATGGTGCTCGACGCCACTGCCCCATCACACATTGACCAACACTCGAGCACCGCACCACCACCACCACCACCACCACCACCACCACACACAAAGAGAGAGAGAGAGAGAAAGAAGGAAAGAAAAAGAAACACCGCGCAACACCCCTCACCACCCTACACACATGGCAGACTCACTGCCCCCGAGAAGGCTGCTGGGCGTGGCCAAGGGGCCGGAGGAGCACCCGGCGAGCCGGATCCCGGGAGCCACGCCGCTGGTCACTCCGCGGACATTCCCAGCGGACAAGGGCGAGTATGCTGCGTTTGAGCTGAGCAACGGGCTGCAAGTCATCGCTGTCTCGCGGCCTGGGACCAAGATGGGCGCGGCGGCGATGAATGTCAACGTGGGCTACTTTTCTGACCCCCAGGCCGTCCCAGGTCTCGCCCACTTTTGCGAGCACATGCTGTTCCTCGGCACCGCAAAGTACCCCGACGAGTCGTACTACGCCGGGCTTGTCGCCTCGCGCGCCGGCGAGGAGAACGCCTCGACCTCCCGCGAGAATACCGAGTACTACTTTGGTGTCGACGCCGACCACATGATCGAGGTCCTCGACGTCTTTGCCCAGTTCTTTGTCGCGCCCAAGTTCTCGGCCTCGGCCACCGCCCGCGAGCTCCACGCCATCGACGAAGAGTTCAACGAGGAGTACGTCGACGACGACATCCGTGCCGTCCAAGTCGTCAAGGCCTGCACCGGTTCGACCCACCCGTACTCGGCCTTTGACTGCGGCAACGTCGTCTCACTCGAGGAGGTGCCGGCCGCCACAGGCGTTGACGTTCGCGCCGAGCTCATGGCTTTTCACGCCAAGTGGTACTCGGCCAACCTCATGCGCCTCGTCGTCTACGGCGCTGAGCCGCTGCCGGTTCTTGTCGACGCCATTGCCGCCTCCTTTGCCGACGTCCCTAACATGCACACTCCGCCACCGCGCTTCGACCCGGCCCTCCTCGCCCCGGACGCGCCTCAGCACCAGCGCCCGCTGCTGCTCTCCGTCGCCACGCTCAAGTCGATGTACACGCTCGAAGTCATTTGGCAGTGGCCGTCCGTCCGCGGCCTCAACGACACCAAGCCGCATGAGCTCATCGGCCACCTCGTCGGCCACGAGGGCGAGGGCTCGATCTACGCCGCCCTTTCTGCCCGCGGCTGGCTCAAGTCGCTCTCCGCTGGCGTCGACACCGAGACGGCAGACTTTTGCTTCTTCTCGGTCGAGATGGAGCTGACCTCGCTCGGCTTTGCTCACGTCTTTGACGTCGTCGCCGCCCTCTACGCCTACCTTGCCCTCCTCCGCCACGCCCATCCGCTCCCGTCCTGGATCTGGGACGAAAAGGTCTCGCTTGACGCCACTCAGTTTGCCCACAAGTCCGAAGTCCGTGCCGTCAAGTGGGTCCGCTCGCTTGCCGAGGCCATGCACGAGCTCCCCATCGACGCCGTTATCTCTGGCCCCTACGAGTACGCACCGGCGTTTGACCCGGACGGCCTCGCCACTCTCCTCGACGCCCTCATTCCCGAAAACTCGATCATTCTCTGCAAGGCCAAGGACTTGCCGGCCGCCTACGGCCCCAACGCCTCCGCTGCCTGGCCGGCTGTCTTTGCCGCCCCGCTCGCCTCTCACGAGCCGTGGTACGACGTCGACTACGCCGCCATCTCGCTCCCCACCGCCGCGCCCGACGTTGTCGCCTCGTGGGCCTCGGCCTCGGCCGTCGATGCCGCAGCCTCGTGGGACCTCGCCCTCCCTCAGCCGAACGCGTTTATTGCCACGGACTTTGCACTGTGCGAGCCCGAGGCGTCGCCGCCGCCGCTCCCTCCTCCCGCTCGCCCACTCCCCACTCCCGCCGACCCGCTCCCGCCCATCCTCGCTGCCGCAGAGTCTGGCGAGGTCCTCGACACCGCGCCGCCGAGCCTCCTTGTGTGGCGCACCGGATGGGAGGTGTGGCACAAGACCGATACCGAGTTCCGTGTTCCCAAGGGCCTCATCAAGCTCCGCCTTCGCCTCCCTCTCGCCACCATTTCGCCGCACGCCGCCGTGTGTATGCGGCTGTGGATGGCGCTCCTTGCCGACGCGCTCATCAGCATTGTGTACCCGGCATCCGTGGCCGGCCTCTCCTTCTCGCTATCGCACGTCACCGAGGGCATCGCCGTCAGCGTCTCGGGCTACTCGCACAAGCTCTTTGACCTGCTCTCGGTCCTCGTCGAGGCCATTGCGAACGAGGAGCTCTCCAAGGGCCGCTTCGTCATGTTCCGCGAAATCATCGGCCGCTCGCTGGCCAACGCCGGCCTAGGCGAGCCACTCCCGCTCGCCCGCAACCTTCACGACATTGCCATTTCGAGCTTCAAGTGGGAGATTACCGAGTACCGGCGCGCCCTTGCTTCGCTGACCTACGACTCGTTTGCCGCCTTTGTCACCAGCGTCCGCACCTCGTCGGCTGCCGCCACTCTCTACGTCCACGGCAACTTTACCGCCTCGCGGGCCCGGACCGAGTCGGCCCGCATCGCGAGCCTTCTCGACAACTTTGTCCCGCTGCCGCGCTCGTGCTTCCCAGCCTTCCGCTCGCCGCTTCTCGCTGCAGGCCCGGCGGGCCCCTGGGTCCTCGAGCGGCTGTCGCCCGACCCGGTCAACATCCAGTCAGCGGTCATGAACGTCTATGAGGTCAGCGTTCAATCGCAAGAGGCCAACGCATTTGTCGACCTCCTTGTCCAGCTCCTCGACGAGCGGTTCTTCACCAAGCTGCGGACAGAACAGCAGCTTGGCTACACCGTGAGCGTCGGTGTCTCGGGCGCCGGCCGCGTCTCGCGCCTCCGCTTCTCGGTTCAGGGCTCTGCCGCCTCGGCGCCCGAGGTCGACGCCGCCATCGAGGCCTTCCTTGCTGACTTTCTTGGCAACGTCCTGCCCAACCTGACGCAAGACGAGCTCGAGACAAATCTCGCTTCGCTCGCCGCCCTCACTCTCAAGAAGAAGACTTCGCTCGTCGCTGCAGGCGCCCGCGTCTGGGGCGAGCTCTCCTCGCTCGAGTATCTCTTTGACCGTCCGCACGTCGAAGTCGCTCATCTCGCCGCCATTACCCGCTCCTCGCTCCTCGCCTTTGCCACCAAGGTCCTCGACCCGGCGTCGCCGCTCCGTCGCAAGCTCTCGGTCCGCGTCCACGCCGCCGCCTCGTCGGTCGGTCCGCCGCCGCCGCCCGGCGTCGATCCGGCCACGGGCAAGCCGTACATTGTCATCGACGACCCGCTCGCCTTCAGGGCCGCTGCTACCCTCGCCCCAGCGAGCGACAAGCTTCCCACATGGTTCATTGTGCCACACGTAACAGAGCTTGATCACCCAGACGACGCCTGGAACGCCATGCTCGCGAGCGAAAACGGCCACGCCTCGGCCTACTCGGGCTCGGACTCGGGCTCAGACTCAGGCTCGAGCGACGACGACTCGTAGGTGTCGCCTAACTAGCCCTGCGGCCACTCGTGCGCCACAAAGTTAAAGATGGTGAACAGCAGCTCGGTTGGGAGCTGCGCAAAGCCGGCGTCCTTGTACACGTACACGAACCGCCCGCCCGCACCCTTGGTCGCCCGCGCAAGAACAAGCACGGTGGCAATGGCCTCGCGGACAGCCCGCGGAAACGCGCAGTGCGTCTCGGGCCGCCAGCCGATCGCCTGCGCGTTGACCGCCGCCTGGCACATGTTGCCCGCAGCCACCATAAACTCAGAGTATTCGAGCCGGTCGCCAAGCACCGCCTGGCGCGTTGAGGGCGGCGTGCTCTCGATGAGCGCCATGACCTCGTCGCGCTGCTCGGCCGTCCGAAAGTCGGACGGGAGGAGCGCAAGCCCAATGGCGGGCGCAGCGCCGGCGTCGAGCAGCGCCGTCAGCAGCGCCGCGTCGTTGGCAAGAAAGGCAATATTGAGCGGCGAGTCGCCCTGCACACGCGTGCATACTCCCGCCGCATACACCCCGTACGAGAGAAAGAGCTTGGTCACCACAGATGCCGCCACCTTGGACCCGCCAGGCACCATGAGCGCCAGCTCGTAGAGCGACGTCGCCGCCGCTCCATGTCCTGCCCGCGCCGCAGCAGCAACCACCTGGCGCGCAGCCTCGATCTGACCGCGGCGAAGCGCAAAGACAACAACATCAGCTGCTGCCCTGTCGCACATCCCGCACGCCTTGGACGGCACCAGTGCCGGGCCGGCCGTCGCCGCCAGCCGCTGTGCAAGCAACGCGAGCACCTCGGTCGCCGCCACACGCACCGCCGCGCACGCAGCCTCGCCCAGCACCTCGCGCGGGTACCGATCGCCAGCAGCCGCAAGCAGAGCTTCCACAGTGGGCTTGGATCGGGCCCACGCTGCCCACACAAGCGCCGGGCGCACGCCATCGACCGCCAGATCGTCGGCGCCGGCCGCCAGCAGGGCTGCGAGCGTCTCGAGCGCAGCCTCACGCGCAGCCGCTCCCAGCGGCGTCGCCATCACCGCGTGACCTCTCGCATACAACTCGTCGGCCTCGGGCAGCGGCGGAAGAAGAATCGCATAGTTGACGCCCGGCGGCTGCGGCACCGCTTCCACCGCATCCGCCAGTGCCTTCCCGGTCTGGCCCTCCGACACCGCCGCCGCCAACGCCAGCTGCGCCGCCTGCTCCGCCGTCAGCTCCTCCGTCTCCAGCGCCTCGGGTGCCGACGAGTCGTCGTAACTTGACTCACTGTCCGAGCCCGAGTCAGACGGCCACTGGTACGCCATGTGCCTGACAAAGGGTAGGGTGAGGTGATGGGGGGGGGAGGGCGCGTGTGTGAGCGATGGAACGTGGCATCGCAAACAACAGTCCGCTAACCGTCGGTCGGTAGAAAAGGGCGCGATGTGCAAGGTGGCGGAGATCACACGCAGCGATGGTATGTCTTTGTGGCTAGCTTCAGGCCTGTTAGTGATGCTGTACCTTGCACTGTCTATTCGGCATCGATGGATGCGAGGTTTCAAGCTGGGAGCGAGCGTCATCACAGCCGCGCGAATGGTCTGCTTGCATACGTACGGCTCCAGGCGTCATTGACTCCTGGCTCGATCCGTCCATCGCAACCGAGCATCAGTGCAAGGAGAAGCGGCTTGTTGACTTCCCCCACTACCTTCAGCTGCTGCTGAAGGAGGACTCATTCATATTTACCTGGGATGTGATGCAGACGATACCTGCAGGTGTGCCATGGTGGTCGAGTGGCAAAGAGGCATTTGGGTGATCATGTTTTTTCGTAGCGGACAGCCATCTGATGCAACTTGTGCATCACTTCCTCCCCTCTCCCTCCAGACAGTGCTACATACAGAGCTTGCATGGCACGAGTGCTACGCAATAGACTCCTTAACTACTCTGATAAGGCCATCTATTACATGCTACGGCCGTGTATCCATCCCGTTGCTGCCCTCCAACCAAAAGTGAACAATCTCAAACCGATTTCCATGGCCAACAACAGATCCGAACCCACTCCCTGCCATCCCCCTTCTCCCTCCCCCTTCCCTCTCCCTCCTCTGTGCCTCCTCTGTTCCCCTCCGCCATTATCTGCATCCCCGCCAAATCCTCCATCACAACCTCGACATGCTCCCTGCCCTGTCGTCAATGCCAAGAGCCAATTCTGTGCCGCACAACCAACGTTCGGCAGAGATTCCACGCTGTCAAATTGGATGCCCCTCCGCGCGGTAGGCATGGGGCTGGGTGTGATGGAGAGGCGCAGAGAGTGGAGCGAGCCCAGTTCTTGCTGTCCAAGAACGACGTGGAGCATCGAGCTGTTGCTGGGCCGAAGTACCTTTTTCGCGCCTCGTTGGTGGTGGTGGGGGTGGTGGAGCCGTGGTGGTGGTGCCACGACGGGAAAAAAATCTGTCTGTCCAATATTCACCTCCCCCGCCACCACCTCCCTCCAAGCACTCCAGCGACTCACGCACCCCGTCGACTTGACCTAACGCAAGCAGCTGGAAGTGTGTGCTGCTAATTGAAGGAGATCTAGCTTACTCAGTGTCTATCCTGAGGTGCGTTACCCATTGATCATGTCTTGGCTCGTGCATGTGGCATGTGCAATCGCCGCGCTCATGGTCGCACTCGGCAATGTCAGCGTATTGGCAGCCGACGCGCCTACTGGCGAACCACTGTACCTTTGCGGCATTCCGTATCCTTATGATGCAGCACTCAAGGGCAACCCGACGTCGACAGTGGAGAACACACAGTTCATCTTTCGTGGCTCACAGTTCTGGCAGTACCGCGGCGACCTGCGGCGGATTACCTTGTCGATGCCGCAAAGCATTAGCTCCGGCTTCCCAGGCGTTCCCAACGATCTTGACGCTGCTGTGGCGTACACCTCGAACTCCAAGTTCTACTTTTCAAGGGCACCCAGTACTGGCGCTACTCGAGCAGTGTTGGCGTCGATGCTGGTTACCCCAAGACCATCGACTTTGGCTTCAACTCGGAGCTGCCCAACTACATCGACGCCATCGAGCGCTGGTCGGGCGACCTGATCTATGTGTACAAAGGCTCGCTCATGTACGAGTTCCACGAGGTGACCGGTCTCACCTCAGGTTATCCACTTGCTCACAACTACGGCTTTGTGCCCGATGCCATCCTGTCCTCGCCCTTCTCCACCGCCCTCACCACTTCGTACTTTTTCGACGCCGCCAACAGCCATCTCTACCAGAGCACCGGCTTCACGGTCTCCTCGCCCTTCCCCACATGCTCGTCATGTGACGGTGCAGTGGTGGTCTCGTCCGGCGTGGCCGGCACCGTCGCCCCCTTTGTCAACAATGCTTACACCAATCTACAGAGTTGCTCGTGGACGTTCAACTTTGCTGCCGCTGGCCTCATAGTCCTCGACTTTACCTCGTTCAACACCGAGGCTGGCTACGACTTTGTATGGATCTATGACGCTGTCGATGACTACGGGCCGCTCCTGAGACAGCATGCTGGCACCACCATCCCAACAGGGTCGCCCTATCTCACATCGTCCTCCGCTGCCCACGTCAAGTTTGTCACAGATGGCCGCACCATCGGCCAGGGCTTCTCCTTCAACTGGTACTACTACATCCGCTGCCCGACGCTTGCCTCCTTCTCTAACGGTGTCTGGTCGCCATCAGCCTCTGGCTACCGCCTCGACACCAGTACTGCTGTGTGCAACCCCGGCTTTACCCTCACCGGCGGTTCGTCGTCGCGGACATGCCTCAGCTCCGGCACATGGTCCAACTCTCCTGGCCAGGTCTGCACCCCGAATCCGTGTTCGCCAAGCCTGGTCGCGCCGACCAACGGCATCGTCTCATCTACGATCGGCAGCACTGGCGACACGTCGACCTTTTCTTGCAACGCAGGCTACACGCTCGTCGGATCGCCGTCGCGGACGTGCCTCACCGACGGCACCTGGTCCAACTCGAACGATCAAGTGTGCAACCCGAACCCGTGCTCGCCGCCACAGTCCTCACCCGCCAACGGAGCCGTCTCCTCAGCGACGGGCAACACCGGCGACATGATCACGTTCTCGTGCAACTCGGGCTTTACCCTCTCGGGCTCGTCCACACGGACGTGCCAGTCGACTGGCGCGTGGTCAAACCTCAACGACCAGGTGTGCGCGGCCGGCGCGTGCTCGCCTGATCTGACGCATCCCACCAACGGCGCAGTCTCGTGCACCACAGGCAGCACCGACGACACTTGCACGTACTCGTGCAACCAGGGCTATACACTCTCAGGCTCGCCGTCGCGGACGTGCCAGGCGAACCAGGCGTGGACTGGATCGGACCCGTCGTGTGTACCGGCGGCGTGCTCGCCGACGCTCTCGCCGCCGTCGCGAGGGTCTGTGTCATCGACGACGGGCGTGACCGGACAGACGTCAACGTTTTCCTGTGAGGCCGGGTTCTCGCTGACGGGCGACGCAAGCCGGACGTGCCAGACGAGCGGAAGCTGGTCTGGCCTCGCCAACCAGGTGTGCAATCCGCTGCCGTGCCCGACGCTGACGGTGCCGACCAACGGCGGAGTCTCGATCACGACGGGTGGCAAGGTCGAGGACGTGGCGACGTACTCGTGCAACTCGGGATACTCGCTGTCGGGGGTGGTGTCGCGGACGTGTCAGGTGAACCAGGTGTGGAGCTCGACAGCGCCGACATGCCAACCGCTGCCGTGCCCGGTGCTTGCGCCGATTGCCAACGGCTATGCGACGCCCGGATACACCGGGAGCACGAGTGATGTGGTGACGTTTGGCTGCAACTCGGGCTATTCGCTGAGCGGGACGGCGTCGCGGACGTGCTCGGTGAGCCAGGCGTGGACCGGGACGAACGACCAGTCGTGCGATGCGATTCCGGACTTTTGTCCGAGCCAGGCGGCACCGGTGGACGGGACGCTTGACTCGCTGGTGCGGACGGTGGGTGGAAGTGCGGCGTTCTCGTGCAACGGTGGGTTCACGCTTGTGGGCTCAACTAGCCGGACGTGCCAGAGCGATGGGAGCTGGTCGGGCTCGATGCCGATTTGCACACAGTGCTCGGGCAACTGCGCGACGTGCGAGGCGGGGCAGCCGACCAACTGCAACACGTGTGTGGGCGGGTACACAATCGGCGATGAGTGTGTGTCCAAGGTCGATCCGTGGTGTCCCGCGCTGTCTGCGCCAGTCAACGGGGCGCTGTCTGGTGCACCGTGCGACCGCAAGGTGGACGACGTGTGCGGGAGCGCATCGTGTAACGACGGGTACTTTCTGGTCGGGCCAGCGTCGCGGACGTGCCAGTCGTCGCAGGCATGGAGCGATCTGTCGTGGTCGTGCGCGAGCTGTGCACCGGCATGTGCCACGTGTTCCGGCGACGCAGCAAACTGCGTGACGTGCGCACCTGGGCTGCTTGGCCCGCCGGCATGTGTGACGCCAGTGACGTGTCCTGCGGTGAGCGCGCCTGCAAATGGGGCGATCTCAACGGCCGCCAATGTGTCAGGCACGGTTGTGTCGTTCTCGTGCTCGCCCGGATTCACGCTCAGCGGGATGTCGTCGATCACGTGCTTCAACAACGGGAGCTGGTCGGCGCCGCTCGACCAGGCGTGTGTTGGCGGAAGCTGCACACCGGCACTGAGCGCACCGGCGTTTGGCACGGTGAGCGGGACGATTGGATCGACAGGCGAGTCGCAGAGCTACGCCTGCAATGTGGGGTACAGTCTGTCGGGCTCGAGCACGCGGACGTGTCAGGCCGACGGAAGCTGGACCGGATCGGATCCGGTGTGCAATGCGCTGTCGTGCACGCCCGGCCTTGTGGCGCCGAACCACGGCGCGGTCTCACTGACGACCGGGGTGACGGGAGATGTGGCGAGCTACAGCTGCAATGCCGGGTTCACGCGAGTCGGGCCGGCAACGACGGCGTGTCTGAGCAACTCGACATGGTCAGCGGCGGCGCCGGTGTGCGTTGGCAACGCGTGTCTGCTAGTGCTGAGTGCACCGGTCAACGGCAACGTGTCACGGACGACAGGGACGACGGGCGATGTGGCGACGTTCTCGTGCATATCCGGGTTTGTGCTTGTGGGCTCGGCACAGCGTGTGTGCCAGACGGACGGGACGTGGTCGGGCGTGGGATCGCAGACGTGCTCGCGTCTCGACTGTACATCGTTGTCGTCGACACAGACGCCTCCGCAGAACGGGCGACTGACGTGCAACGGGGCGGCGTTCTTGTCCGAGTGTACGATCTCGTGCAACAGCGGCTACACACCGTACGGGACGACGGTGCGGACGTGTCAGGCGGACCGAAGCTGGAGCGGCGACACGGACGTGCTGTGCTCGGACGCCGACGCAGCAGCATCGCTTGTGTCGTACACGGCGCCTGTGCGTGTTGCAGCAGGCAGCTCATGGATGTTTACGGTGCAAGCGATGCGGGATGCGACGAGTGTGGCGACGGCACTGGACAACCGTGTGGATGTTGTGCGTGTGGAAGGCACGGCGATCTACTCGCCGGTGCTCGAGTCGAGCACGGCGGTGGGCAATGGGACGTACGCCGTGAGCGTACAGGTGCCGACTGTGACGGGCGTGTATGGACACGAGGTGCGACTGAACGGTGCGGCGATTTCGAGCGAGGTGGCTGTGGAGGTGATTCCCGGCCCAACGCGCGGATCGATGTCGCTGGCGAGCGGGCCCGGACTGCTCACGGCTGAGCTCGATGTCGCGACGACGTTTGTGGTGACTGCGCGCGACCAGTTTGGCAACGTGGCGCAGTCGACCAACGACGACGTGACGGCGCTGAGCAAGGCCGGCGACGATGTGCGTGCTGTGAGCCTGGTGTCAAGCGGGCGTGGGAGGTACGACGCGACGTTTGCGCCGTGGAAGGGCGGGGTGTACACAATCTCTGTGTCTGTTGCAGGCGAGGCACTGCCCGAGTCGCCATGGGTCATTTTTGTGGCGTCCAAGTGTCCCGCGGGCCAGTACGCGGTGGAAGAGACCGGGCCGTGTGAGATCTGTCCGGTCAACTCGTACACCGAGTCTGTGAACGAAGCCGAGTGCAGCGGCTGTCCGCGGTTTTCGGAGACACATGGCGCGGTTGGGGTGAGCTCTGTGCTCAATTGCACGTGCCAGGCGGGATACTATGCGCTGTCGCGCGGGGTGTCATGCCTGCCGTGTCCGGGAGGCGGGGTGTGCGACGGCGGAGTGTCGCTCCCGCGATCGCGGCCTGGGTTCTTCCCGTCGCAAGATCCGACGGTGTTCCTGCGGTGTGACGAAGATGCCAACGCATGCCTCGGCGATGGCAAGTGCCGGGCGGGATACACGGGACGGATGTGTGCCGACTGCGAAAGGGGCTTTTACAAGATCTCTGCGCGGTGCTACAAGTGCCGACCGACGACGACGTACATTCTGGTGACGATGTTTTTTGTGGCGCTGTTTGTCTTTTGCTGTCTGCTGGTGTGGCTCAACACGCGCAACAACAAGTTCTACGGCCTGGCTGCGTTCATGATTGGGTTCAACACGCTCCAGATTCTGGCGGTGTATGGTGATCTCGAGCTCGGATGGCCGGTGTGGGCACAGCACTTTTTCAATGCGCTCACGTTTGTCAACCTCAACATGGACCTGACGTCGCCCGAGTGCACGGTGAGTGTGGGCAACATCTGGCTGCTCAAGTGGGGACTGACGATGGCGCTTCCGATTCTTGTTGTAGTGCCGTTCTTCATCATCTATTTGTGGTCGCTGGTGTACATCTGGTTTGTGGAGAAGTTTGGCGACCAGATCCGCGCGGCCAAGCCGGCGTGGTGCGACCCGACGATGTTTGCGAGTGACCAGTCGTGCTCGATGCGGTTCCAGCGGCGGCTGGGACGACTGCTGACCGAGTCTGTGACCAAGAGTAGCGGGATGCGTGCAGCGTGCGGGCGGGCGTACTGGCAGCTGCTCATTTTCTGCTACATGCCGCTCTGCCACATGACGCTCCGGTATCTCGACTGCCACAAGACGGCGGACGGGGTGTGGGTGATGACGGACAATCCGTCGTCAAACTGCTACAACTCGGCATATTGGTCTCTGATCTGGCTTGTCGGGCTGTTCATTGCGCTGTACTGCCTGGGCATTCCAGCAGGAGTGACGTGGCTCCTCCGGCGAAAGAAGGGGGGACTCGAGGAGTTCCAGTTTATGATCAAGTACGGGTTCCTTGTGGCGCGGTTCTCGTCGCGGTACTACCTGTTTGAGCCACTGGGGATCCAGATGCGCAAGTTCCTTGTTGTGCTTGCGACAGTGACGTTCCGGGCGCCGCTTGTCAAGGCGTCGATGGCGGCGCTTGTGCTGATTTTCTCGTTGACGCATGTGGCGTATGCGCGTCCATACCTGGAGGAGTGGCACAACAAGCTCGCGGTAGGATGTCTGCTTGCGGGGCTGCTTGTCCTTCTCGGCGGGACGGTGACGTACAACGCGCACCTTCGTGACACGCTGATTCTGGGCGGGCTGGGGGTGGAGATTGTGCTGATTCTTGGCGGTGTGGTGTACGACCTCGTTGTGACGAGCCGGCGCGACAAAGAAGAGATGGAGAAGTACGACGATGACTTTGAGGACGGGCTGTTCATTGACGGCGAGTCGGATCTGTCGATGTGCAACTTTGAGCGCTCGTCTGTGACACTTGAGCAGCGCGGGAGTGCTTCATCGACGGTGCACTCGCTGGCGGGCTCGCCAAGCAACGATGTGGTGTTTACACAGACCGATGACTTTATGGGTGGGAGCCACTCGTCGATGGAGATGGAGAGCCTGAGCATAGCGTCGCCTTCAGAGGGGCCGCCGCTGCCGCTGCCGCAGTCGTCGGCGATTCCGACGCCGAGTGGCGCCGCACTGGGCGTGGTGGCGAGCCCAACCGGGCTGCCACCCAAGCTTCCAGAGAGGCCGGCGTAGCGTGTGAGCAAGAGCAGGTCAAAGGATGACACACTTTTTCTTCTTGTCCTTGTTCTTCGGTGCGTGGGCGTTGATCTGGCGGACGAGGTCGTGGAAGACCTCGTTGACGTTCTGACCACTCTTTGCCGACGTCTCGATGAAGGAGCAGTTACAGCCTGCGGCGGCGGCCTTTGCCTCCTCTGCGGATACCTTGCGCGAGTCGACGAGGTCAGCCTTGTTGCCGACGATGACAGCCGGGACGTAGTCGGCGTCCTTAACTCTGAGGATACGGGTGTGGATGTCGCGGACATCGTCGAGGGTGGCAGCGTCTGTGAGAGAGAAGACCAGAACAAAGCCCTGGCCCATGCGGACGTAGAGATCGCGCATGGCCGAGAACTGCTTTGTGCCTGCAGTGTCCAGGATCTCCAGCACGCACTCATCGCCTTCGATGTCCCGTTGTGCTCGGTGCGAGTCCTCCACAGTGGGGTCGTACTGAGCGGAGGGGGGGGGGGGGGGGGGGGGAGGGGGGGGATGGGTGAGTGGGGAGAGGAAGGGGGAGGGAGGGCAGAGGAGGAGGTAGAGGAAGAAAGAGCGTACCTCTTCTACAAAGTGGCCCTGCACGAACATGACCGTCAGTGCCGACTTGCCGACGCCACCGGCGCCCATGACCACCAGGCGGTACTCGCGCATGGCGGGAGGGGGGCTGGGGCGGGGAGGTGGTTGGTGGAGGAGGGTGGAGAGAGGTGATACAGCGTGTGTGTGTGTGTGTGTGTGTGTGTGTGTGTGTGTGTGTGTGTGTGTGTGTGTGTGTGTGTGTAGTAGTGTGTGTGTGTGGTGTG